CCTCTTGAGTGCCTCTAGGCATCCAAATTGAAGGGAGACGCAAGCTCCGATCCCGACTAGAGGCATTGCCGTTCCTAGAAGCATGAAGTTAGCCTAGGGCACGGGAATTTATTTCTCAAGCGGTATTCCCTGCTCATGACCCTGAAAAGTGTGTTAACTGCCGGTTTAATCGCACAGCAGTATTGGGTTTGCCTCTGCAATCTCCCATTCTCATTACTATGAGCTCGGGAGAGCAAAAAATTGCGGATCTTTGTTGAGGAGCAACAAAAGGACCGACCTTTGTAAAATGCTAAAGGGCCCTCATTCTTTAAAATCGATGTTGTGCATTGAAGCGCCGAGCTATAAGCATTAGAGGATTGCAGGCGAACCTACTTGTCTTGAAAACGTATCTTTTGAGCTGGAGAGAAAATACTTTGACGATATCGAACTAAGAGTTGCGAGAGTCATTGCTAGTAAGATGAAGCCAAAAAACACAAACTGGTTGCCCAACCAATACCTGTGCGATTCCTCCCACTGTCCCGGCCGTAAGATCTTTGGCTACGCGTACGGAGGAAGAAGCTTCGGCAGACATTTGCTTGGAAGACTTTTGCAGCCGTCGACAACAACAACAACTAGCACGCTCAAAATCAACAAACACTACTAGTTACAGTGTGGTTCTGGAACAATAAACTTCTGACAAAGCTACATCTCAGTGGGACCAAAGCGCCACCATCTCAGGCAAATATCGTATAAAGTATCACATGAATACAATTAGAACTAGGTCTCTATCATTCTATTTTGGGAGGTTAAAGACACAGATAACCTGCTTGAGCAGTTCTCAAAGACTATCATGAGCGTTTCTTTAGCACAAAATGAGTTATTATCTGAAGGCACACCATCACATGCCATAGGAGTGCGCTTGCTCTTAGCACGATTGCACGAAATGACGTTCTGACAGATTAAAAGAATGCACATTGCGCCGAGAGCTCCGGAGTGTGAAGATGTAACATTACAGGCACATAGTATCAACCGTCTTCGATAGTATAGTGGTTAGTATACCCGCTTGTCAGGCAACTCGCGGGTGACCGGGGTTCAATTCCCCGTCGGAGAGATTTTTTACACTTTCAATGAGTTCGATGCATGGATTGAGTCGCCGCTCCCTCTTACCTACCCCGCTAGGTAACCAGAGTCCCCAGTCATAGCTGATGGTCAGAGTAGGAAATGCAATCAGGAGCTCGACGGTGAGCATTCTGACAAACCGTGGTTCCTTTTGCATATGTCGTTTTGTTGAAAGTGCTGGGTGCACTGTTAACAAGACGTGGGACCCTTGCACAGCTACAAAAGGAGGTCACGAAAAGATCCCTCCTTCCGTCCAGCTGCTCGCAACCACCAACGTCGTCGTTGACGTCGAACAGCACTTTTCCCACAGATCTCTCTGTGGTCTTTCTGGTCTCTTGTTTTACTTTCTGATATTGTATTGCTACACCCTTGGTTCGCTCGCCTTACTTTTACGAATATGCTGCTTCTTGCCTTTTCGCTCATGTATATAAATTCTATCATTCTCCTCAGAGGGGTACTTTCTCCTGTCTGCTTGCTTGTATTTACAGCCCTATCATCATCCACTACATCGAATGTGCAACTGCCGTACTCTAAAACCTATCCTCATCCCCGTCCACAGCTAGCACATCCAACATATTCGGTGAAACCACGTCTGCAGTATATGCTAATTTTGCTTTTCGATGAAGTGACATATTGGGGACACTGACAGACTATCCATCTGCGTCAAAGTGGAACAATAAAAACATGCAAAAGACTCTCCGACGGGGAATTGAACCCCGGTCACCCGCGAGTTGTTTGACAAGCGGGTATACTCACCACTATACTATCGAAGAAGGTATGTTATGTGGTGATGTCAGCATTGTGTTATGAACCTACAATGATCATGGAGGATGGTGAGGCGGACTGAACGGCGTTGCAAATCAGATAACTCGTGCAGCCAACCCATCAGCTCCCTTCCCAAGCTTTTCCCGTCCTTATTCTCACATCACTCAAATATCAGCCCAGCTGCTCGACAGTTTATGCCCCGTCGAAGCAAATCGAAGAGAAATATAGATTATTTCCGGATGGCTTCGGTTTCGAGTAGTTCCGAGAGCAGTGTTCGGAGTGGGCTTAGTGATGTTGAGGGTGCAGGGGAAGGGGAGGGAGACAAGATCCCGTATGGTGTTGCAAAGGTAGAGCTGATCAAGAGGGTAAACGAAGAGAGGGAGGGAGGGGGAGGCCGATGGAAGAGATGGATTTATGTTGGGTACGTGCTCTCTTTAGAGTAGAGATCGGTGAAGTAGGAGGGTACGGGTGTGGATTAGTTTACACAACTCGCTTAGAGAGTTGTGGCGGTTCTTAACCTTTGATATTGATAGCCGTTTTCGACTTCTCTGCTAGCCCATGCCCTGCCATGACAAATGGGTTCAAGCATGACTTTACTGCATTGGACTCTCCTATTCCATCGTTCTCCCTGTCATCTGTCATGTGTATTTCATCCGCGCCGATTTCGCGTATGGACATTGGCCAACATGTCTCAGACGGACGGTCATAGCCCTGTGCAGACGTCCTTAGACCGTCCCACCACATTCGTCGTATTCCAAGGCCCAAGCTTGCCCACTCACCCAGAATAGCCTAGAACATATTTGAAGTGAATACTGTTGCCATCTTTACGCCACTGGCGTCGTCCGAGATCTTGTCTGCATTCTCCATTGACACAGCCGACAGTGACTCACAAACTTGAATTGTCTTTAATTGGAAACCGCGAGCAGTAACCAGAGGAGTAGTTGAAGAATTGCTCCTCTAGGTGGGATGGAATAGGATTTGGGTGGTCTCGTTTGCGTCTCGTCCCTTATTTTGTTTATTTGTCGAGTGAGATGGCAACGACGCACACGAATGTCTGTGCTATCTGTCAACAGAAGTTTTCCACAAAATGAGGCGTGGGCTTGGAGCAGAGACATAGAGATAGACCACCCTAAAGACAAGCATGATACATGCTTGCATGTGTTCGTTTGTCACAATAGGAGGAGCACAGCTGGAAAGTTTAAGCTTAGCAATTATTCACCTCTGAATCGCAGAGACTGAAATTATGATGCATACTACAATGAACTTGACACTCTGTTTAGCTGACTGACATCAACCCTAGTGTCTACATCCTCTCGATTTCAACTTCGCTAGTAGGCGGTAACCTCTACACCTCTATCGAAAATAATGTGTCTTTAGGAAGCGAATGTGACACCTACAATTGAGCCGTACTTCCTATCCTTATTCAAAGCACACGGCTTCCTCAGTAGTGTATATGTGGCGATTAACGTAAGCAACTAATATCTTGAAGTCCCTCGTTGTGGTGACACGTAAATCACAGATTGCTCTTGCCGTGGGAAAACCACCCTTGGCGAAAGTGTTAGACGTATTTGGACGTGCAGAGGGTATTGCACTATCCGGAGTGACATATGGCATCGGTAGTTCCTCTCCTTTAGCGAGGAGCGATCAAACCTGATGCGCTTGTGGTCAGGTTACGTTCTCATAGCTTTTGCTGGTTCGATACAGATGTTTGGGGTGCGTTGGTGCCGCCATGATTTCGTTCTTCTTCTGACGTGAAAGAAAGGTCGGCAAAATTGTGGCGGCTTTGGGAAGTCAAGGGCTTCAACTGAGCCAACAAGTTGTTGTGGCTGGTAGGCAATCAATCGTCTCGTACTCTTTAAGTTCACTCGTCTGTAGACACCTCAAGTTTGACTTCTCGCGCATTCATCATCTCGACAATATCTCTACCATGGCTCTTTACAACCTGGATTGGTAAGTCACAAGCGTACTCTTGGTTCGTGGTCCTGGGCTGAGATCAACAACAGGCCCTCCAATCGGTAACTTCTTCCTTCTCGGAGGCGAAACTCTATATCGCATAGCCTATCTTATCTTTGCCGTCCTCGTCCCACTCTCAGCATTATATCTCTCCTTTCGGCTTTTCTGGGAGTGGAACAGAGTTGCACGGTTCCTGCGATCTTTGCAGGAAGAGGACGATGTCGAAAGCGATGAAGAATCGGTGGAGAAATTAGCAGGCATTCCTACCCATCTAGGAGATGCCTTCGGAGCTGAAGGAGGCTTGCGCGTCGCGCTCAAGAATGTTTGGAGAGAGCTTGATGGTTTTGGAATGCTCCTCCTGACTTTGGGATGCTCCTTTATCCTATTTCCCCTCAGCGTTGGAGCAGAGTGGAAGAAAGGTTGGGGTGACTGTGAGTATTTACGCTCAGTGTACGAGAGGTGCTTATCTCGGACGAAGATCGCCTTTACCTATTTCTCTTTTTCGGCTTCTTGACACTCGCTCTCTTCGCACGAGTCGAGCAAAGATCCAAATATCCGATTCTACCACCTCGTCTTGCGAAGAACACGACCATTGTTGCTGGATGTTGTCTTGGTTTCTGGCACTTTGCTAGTCAATTCATCTATGAAACCTACTTTACGAGTTTTCTCCAAGTTGCTCGAGGTTTGTCTCTCCCTCTCTTCTTCTGACTATGTTTTTGCTTTTTGTTCGCAGGACATTCGGCTCGAGATGCTCAATATATCAGGTTTACTTTCTGCCTTCTTGTGAAAGGCGAGAAAGCGCTCACAGCCCTTAAGCCAGACCTACATCTTCACCGCATCGGTCTCATCGGTATTCATTGGCATTCTGACGAAGATATCCGGGCGTTACAAAATTTGGGGACTTATTGGGGTCATCATTCATACCATGTTAACTCTCCCTCAACTTCCTCATCGAGGTCGTTCGCTGATGAGGTATTAGTGGGGAGCTGATGATGGTTCGGTTTCGTCGACTGGATAATCCGACGTGGGAGCTGGTTTTGAGCCAGGTAGTAGGGGGAATAGGTGGAGGTGTGCCACCACATTGCTTTGTCCATTCACAAATGCTCAAAGGAGGGCAGGATTCACCACCGTCGCTGGACAGGTTGGAGTGCAGAGCGTCGTCGGAAGTCAAGGTTCGTCACATGCCTAACAGCAACAACTTGCCCAAGCTGATCCCATTCTAGACATCGCATGTGCCACTGCGCTCTTCCTCACCATCACTCAAATCGGAGGTGCCTTAGGCAGTGCCATCTCCGGAGCCTTATGGACCACCCTGTTGCCTTCTCGACTAAGGGTGCATCTGCCACCTGCATCGCAATACCTCATTCCAGACATTGTTTCTTCTCTCTCGGTCGCTCTCTCCTTTCCTCCGGAAGACCCAATCCGGGTAGGGATCAATGAGGCTTATACCGATGTCCAACGTGTTTTGAATGGAGTGGCGATACTCGCTCTTATTGGCGCTTTCATTGGTATCCTCGGTATGCGGAATGTCGATTTGAATGCGAGGGATGAGGTCCATGAGTATGTGAGAGTGCCTGATATCGAGGTCGAGGAGGATGAGGCTGTTGAGGATGGTATGTCATTCTTCCGTTCTGTCTTCAGGTTAGTTCTGTTAACTCGATTTTTTAGAAGAGCATATAATTTGAGAGCGATAAAGAACGTAGACTTCTTCGTTTCAAGCACCGGAAACCTGTGTTCCGTCGATTGGTGCAACACTGCATTTTTGTAATCCACGCATACTTAGTGTAGCAACCGATTTTATATACCCTGTTGTTAATTCCGTCTCAGGTAGAACAGATACCATGCTTTTTTTCAGCACATTGCGCTTCCTTACACTGAAGCTAGCTTGATTGGTGCAACTGCTGTCATTTGCTCTGAACGAATTAGGTAATATTCACTTGAACTCGACCTTGATTTCCTCCTCACCCTCACCCTTGGTGACGACCATCCTCCTCCCCACCTTCTCCTTCTCCCTCGGATCCCTAGGCGTCCACACCCACAGGACGACGGTTATTCCAAAGGCGAGCATGAACGCTCTGTAGACGCGCAGGATCTTTTCTTGCTTCTCCTTCTCTGCGTCCGAAATGGGAGGATGCCATTCGGGCTCTTTTGGACCTTGTTCGGACGATGAATAGGAGTAGAGACGAGATTGGGAGTGGGCACGAGGGGCTAGGAGGAGAGGATGGCGTAGAGTAAACGGCGGGAACTGGTGCGAGGTGTTAGTAACTCAACTAGGAGTAAATACAGACTTACGCGTTGTGTGCGGAGGAGGGAATGCAGGCGAGGTATTCGGGTCATCTTCTTACAATGGTGTTCTGTGAGAAAGAGAAGTCTACGGGCACAGCGGGAAGTGCTACCCGAAAAGGTAACACCGATCAGATTTCGACAACACGTCCAACTTTTCGGATACACACCAGCTTCACCTCAGCTTCCGTGCAGCGCTGTATCCAAGTGATCAGCAAGAGCAAGCATCATGGCCGCCTCTCTCCCCCTCCTCAAAGCGTATCGCACTTCTGGCGTACGCAACCCGTCACTGGTCGTGGAGCATGGAGAGCAAGTAATAGCTGCTGGGATGCTCAAGAGAATGGGAGACGAAGGTATCTCCAGCTTCCTCTATCCTATTTAAGGTATAAACTCATAAGGCTGCATCGGAATGAAGCTTGGGCTTTCTTGGAGCAGACGGCGGTCGCCGCCCTTGAGTGTGGCAGGGAGCAGCTGGCAGAGGTAAGTTATGTTTCTTCTTTCTGTTGTGGCATTGGTGGGAGTTTGAACTCGAAAGGGATGAACCTCCTCAGTCTCTTCTACCGTATGAGAGACAATGAGCTTTAAGGCAGTCTTTGCAATTATGTTTTATTATTCTCAGTCGACTTCTCAACGAATATCGTCGCTGTAATTTGAACTGAAACGAAGCAAAACGTTTGCTTGCGTAGATACTTTACCTTTTTGTGATACTATGATACTTAATTTTCTTGTTTAAACGGTTGGGGAGCTGTGAAATACTTACAGTCCTGTTGAA